GCTCTGGCTCTGGCTCTGGCTCGGGCTCCGGGCTCGGGCTCGGGCCCGGGCTCGGGCTTGGGCTCGGGGCTCGGGCTCGGGCTCGGCTCGGGCTCGGGCTCGGGCTCGGGCTCGGGCTCGGCGCGGGCGCGGGCGCGGGCGCGGGCTTGGGCGCGTGCTCGGGCTCGGGCTCGGGCTGGCTCGGGCTCGGGCTCGGGCTCGGGCTCGGGCTCGGGCTCGGGCTCGGGCTCGGGTTCGGGCTCGGGCTCGGGCTCGGGCGCGGTCTCGGGCTCGGGCTCGGGCTCGGGCTCGGGCTCGGGTCTGGGTTCGGGCTCGGGCTCGGGCTCGGGCTCGGGCTCGGGCTCGGGCTCGGGCTCGGGCTCGGGCTCGGGCTCGGGCTCGGGGGCTGGGGCTCGGGCTTGTGGTTCTCTGATCCTCTTAGGGGCCTCTGCCCGAGGTTTCAGGGGAACCCGGAACGGAATTAGGATCACAAGATTCAGCCAAAGATTAGGGTGGGGGGGCATCGGTTGGGGAAAATCAACCAAAACATTACGGTGGGGGGGCCTTGGTTGGGGAAAAATCAACAGAACCATCAGGATGGGGGGGCAGCTCTGGGAAAACATCAAAAAACATTGGCAACATATAGCAGTTCTTTTCACAATATTAAAAAACAGATTTAGGCTGGGGGGCGATGAAAAACATAATATTACGAGGGGGTTGGCAAACAATCAAAAGAACACGGCCCCAACGGGGCAGGGGTGGTGGATTGTCTTGTGCATTCATTTAAAAAAACAGATGTGCTCGATGCGTGAATGTGGAAGGCGTTGAAACGTGTATGGGGTATCACTCCTTGTCTCGTTGCGTTCGTTTTGTTTTCAAGTCTTGGAGGCTCTCTTGGGCAAGCTTGGGGCCTTTGGGGTCGGCGTCGCCGCCGCCGCAGCCGTGTGTGCCACAGGAACATGAAGCCTTTTCTCTCTCCGTGCACACTAACACAAGAAATTATAGGTGCTTGATTTCCTGCGTCCATGGCACACGTGGGTGCCCTCGCCCAGCCAGACAGCGATGATGAATTTCTGTTGACTGCACCAGCCTCGCATTTGGTGGTGAGTTCCAACGGCGTCGGCGCGAGCCGCCGACGCGCGGCCCCCACAGAGACGAGGTCTCGCCGTGACATCTGTGCGAACGCCCGCGCAGCTAAGGCAGCTAAGCGGGCTTCTACTGTTCCCGACGCAGGGCCGATTGTTCCTCGGCCTGGGCCTGTCAGCGCCGACGGCGACAGTTTGATTGTTTCCCAGCCTGACGTGCCGATGCCGTGTTGCACCGACGGTGAGATTACGAACGTGATGGATCAGCGATCTGCGAATTTGGATTTCGGTCTCACACCGTTCTACGACGTTGTCAGGCGCCTCAGTTTGGACGACCGTTTCATATCTTTAAATACCTTCAGTTTGGCGCGACTTGGAGGCCTTGTTCTGTGACTCACACATGACACCTCCGACGAAGGACCTTGTAGCATCGACGCTGTCTGCAATCAGTAGCAAACATTCTTCTCAGGTGTTGCACACGTTTGCGAGTAGCCCGGCAATATCAGATGAAATCGAGAGGTACAACCTCGAGCGCACAATGGCCGACATGTGCAAGGCGCACGATCACATTAAACCTGTGTGTTTTCTAGAGTACAGCCGCTTTGATGAGACTCCAATGAAATTGGTGATGAAAGCTCTCCAGTACGGTTCTAAGACTAAAGCATCCTGTGCCGACGTTGACCACATTGTGAATTTTCTGACTTGTGAACTTTTGGGCAAAGAGAGCTCCTTGGCCAAACTATTGCAAACAGAATCTAGATTCATGGCGCTGTTCAGCATCCAGCAGGACGACCGCACCCAGTTCGTTGCAATGCATGGTTGACGCTCAACATCCTTCAGATCATTGAAAGTTCGTCTGGGCCCATCATGAGTGCTGCAGTGGCTCGAGCATCCCGTTGCAGCAGACACACCAATATGTTTGAAATGAAGGCTCGGCTGCCAACGACCGACCAGCACCCGTCGAACATGATTGCCGAGTGGGATCTCATCGACAGCAGGGGCGTGTGGGGCACATCTGACGTGCGACGTCCACACTCTTGCCAGGTGCCAGGGGCGAACTTTCGATTGCGAGGCCAGCGAAATCACAGGCATGACGAATTTCATCTTGTCAATTACGAGCCCTGGTTTGATGGACCGATGGCGTAGATGTATTATGAGGGACGTTGATGAGAGGTTGCCCAAAGGAATTTCGTTTGGCTACCCTTCCTTGGAATCTTCCAGATATAGGCAACACTGTTTGGATTTGTTTCTTGCTCGGGGCTCAAATGCAACTGAGAGAAGAGTTTTGCTTTCCAGGTTACCGAATGGACAGTGGCGGCGTGAAGATGCGATCGAACTCATAGTGCCACCACGTGCGGATGGTGCCCAGCCGAATGTTAGGAAAGCGTGCTTTATCATGAAGCGGGTCTTGGTCAAGGCACTTGCGTCTCACAAGCTGCATCTCTATCCACAGCACCGCTGGGTTGGTGCCGACATCAGTTTCGACGAAGTCGGCCTGCTACTCTGCGTGCACAACATCGGCTTCTACAGCTACTTGCGCTTCTGCGAGTCGTTCGGACCGCCCGTCGCCCAGGTGGCACGCTTGCTGTCGCCGACGGCGCCGCCCCCATGCTTGCAGTCGCCGACGGTGACCTCGCCGATCCCAGCACCTTGGGCCATGGGGCTGCCGCGCTTCCCGCCATCTTGGATCAGGGGCATGCTGCTCCTGGGGCCGGCCGCGGCGTTGAGGCCAGCGAGACAGGCATTGCCGATGCATCAGGGTCGCACGCTGAGAACCACAGCAGGTGGAGATTTTCCCGGCAAAGCAACCTAACAGCGATGTGTAGAAGCATATCTGAAAGCATTCCCCTTAAGATTCAGATGAAAATCCAGTTGTAGAATTCTGCTGTTCTCGCAGTCGTAGTCGCATTCGCGATGACAGTCGCAGCGGCAACGGCAGTCGCAGTCAGCCTCAGCCTCAGCCTCAGCCTGCCTCAGCCTCAGCCTGCCTCAGCCTCAGCCTGCCTCAGCCTCAGCCTCAGCCTGCTTCAGCCTCAGCCTCAGTCTGCCTTCAGCCTCGGCCTCAGCCTCAGCCTGCCTCAGCCTCAGCCTGCATCAGCCTCAGCCTCAGCCTCAGCCTGCCTCAGCATCAGCCTGCCTCAGCCTCAGCCTCAGCCTGCCTCAGCCTCAGCCTCAGTCTGCTTCAGCCTCAGCCTCAGTCTGCCTTCAGCCTCGGCCTCAGCCTCAGCCTGCCTCAGCCTCAGCCTGCCTCGGCCGCAGCATCAGCCTGCCTCAGCATTCAAAATGTGGCCCAGGAATGGAGTTCTGGGAACTAGAAGAACACGAAGTGGCCTACAGTTGGCTCCGGGCATTCAAAATCATGCCCAGGAATGGAGTTCTGGGAACTTGAAGAGCACGAAGTGGCCTACAGTTGGCTCCGGGCATCCAAAATGTGGCCCGGGAATGGAGTTCTGGGAAATCGAAGAGCACGAAGTGGCCTACAGTTGGCTCCGGGCATCCAAAATGTGGCCCGGGAATGGAGTTCTGGGAAGTCGAAGAGCACGAAGTGGCCTACAGTTGGCTCCGGGCATTCAGAATGTGGCCCGGGAATGGAGTTCTGGGAGGTCGAAGAGCACGAAGTGTGTGACTGTTGGCTTAAAACGACTTCTGCGGCACCCTGTCCGGCACCCGCCCAGACCCCCCTGTGGAGTCATCTGCTGCTTCTTTTTACCCTATTAGAAACTTATCAGAACAAGCTGTTAGGTAAATTATCCCGGCAAAGCAACCTAACAGCGATGTGTAGGAGCATATCTGGAAGCATTCCCCTTAAGATTCAAATGAGAATCCAGTTGTAGAATTGTGCTGTTCTCGCAGTCGTAGTCGCATTCGCGATGACAGTCGCAGTGGCAACGGCAGTCACAGACACAGCCTCAGCCTCAGCCTGCCTCAGCCTCAGCCTCAGCCTGCCTCAGCCTCAGCCTGCCTCAGCCTCAGCCTCAGCCTGCTTCAGCCTCAGCCTCAGTCTGCCTTCAGCCTCGGCGTCAGCCTCAGGCTGCCTCAGCCTCAGCCTGCATCAGCCTCAGCCTCAGCCTCAGCCTGCCTCAGCATCAGCCTGCCTCAGCCTCAGCCTCAGCCTGCCTTAGCATTCAAAATGTGGCCCGGGAATTGAGTTCTGGGAACTCGAAGAACACGAAGTGGCCTACAGTTGGCTCCGGGCATTCAAAATCATGCCCAGGAATGGAGTTCTGGGAACTCGAAGACCACGAAGTGGCCTACAGTTGGCTCCGGGCATCCAAAATCTGGCCCGGGAATGGAGTTCTGGGAACTCGAAGACCACGAAGTGGCCTACAGTTGGCTCCGGGCATCCAAAATCTGGCCCGGGAATGGAGTTCTGGGAACTCGAAGAGTACGAAGTGACCTACAATTGGTTCCGGGCATTCAAAATGTGGCCCGGGAATGGAGTTCTGGGGACTCGAAGACCACGAAGTGGCATACAGTTGGCTCCGGGCATTCAAAATGTGGCCCGGGAATGGAGTTCTGGGAAGTCGAAGACCACGAAGTGGCTTACAGTTGGCTCCGGGCATTTAGAATGTGGCCCGGGAATGGAGTTCTGGGAGGTCGAAGAGCACGAAGTGTGTGACTGTTGGCTTAAAACGACTTCTGCGGCACCCTGTCCGGCACCCGCCCAGACCCCCCTGTGGAGTCATCTGCTGCTCTCTTTTGACCCCATTAGAAACCTATCAGAACAAGCTGTTAGGTAAAAACTGGATTGAAATGGGTCAGCACCCAGCCAGTCGGCATCATCATGGTCTTCAGGAAGGTTGTTGATCCGTTCAGGGAGTACATGTCTTCGATGTTTGACCTGGCAAGTGCGCGCTGGGATCGGCGCCAAAGGGGCATTGCAGCAAAACAGGCACGTCGATCGGATGCTGGCGCTGGGCCTGAACGCAAATACAGGCTCTCCGAGGTCGCCAGCTGCGAGATGGAGGAGACTTGTCTGGCGAAGCTGAAGCTCCTGCTCACTTCGAGAATTGATTGGGTGCACTTGCCCCGCGCCTGGTTCACAGTCAACGGCAGGCATCGTGTATTCAAGCTGTTGTCTAGGGCGCTGTGTTGCGTGCAAGAGCTGCTCCATGTGCACCACGAGACGTACCCGTACCGTCTGTTCTTGTGTTTGAAGGACCCAACGTTCACCGAGGTCGTTCTGCACGAGCCCGACTGCCTTCTCACGTTGGAGTGGCGTGAGCGTTTTAAGTCGGAAGGGCTGTCCAGTGATGCGGCGTTGGCGATCCTGAAGGCCACCGCGGAGATCATATACCCAGACAATCAGCTATAGAGTGTCTCCACGCTACGGTGCGTCGGCTTCTCATGCAGAGGGTCCAGACAACCCAACTCAGTTCTACGGATCTGGCAGCTGAGTGGGTTTGTCGCCGACATATGGCCCGATGCAAGGCGCCAGATCTACGCAGGAAGGCACGGGCCAGTGAGCGCATGCCGAGAAAAAGGAGAAGGGACGCCGAGCGGCCAGCGCCAGGCGTTTTGCACGTGAGAAAATCTGGGTTTGGAGGCGCTTGGCGAGCATTTGTATCATATACAAGAAGAGGCACGAGAGGCAAGGTTGATTTCAATAGGATGTCTCGGCTTTACCGCGCGCTGACACCAGATGACAAGGCCCTGGGTTCCCAACGAAAGCGCGAATCAGACTAGTCGCATCCCTGGTGCTCGTGGCGTAGTAGGGGTCGGGTGGGTTGTAACTTTGAAAGGCTGCCTCCCGTTCAGTTGTGGTTTAATCACTCGGTGTCTTAGGGGGCCGACCGCGAGTCGTCAGAATATGAGGCTGCCGCCGTTGCCGCGCCCCACGGCGTCGTTAATTGGTCGATTGGTTGGTTGGCTGGCTGGCTGGTTGGGGTGGCTGGTTGGGTTGGTTGATGAGTGAGTTGATTGGTTGGTTGGTTGGCTGGCTGGTTGGGATGGCTGCTTGGGTTGGTTGGCTGGTTGGTTGGCTGGTTGGTTGGGTTGCGGTGGTTGGTTGGTTGGTTGGTTGGCTGGCTGGTTGGTTCATTGGCTGGTTGGTTGGCGGCCTGGTTGGGATGGTTGGCTGGGTTTGTTCGGCTCTTCATCGGGAGCTCTCGAGGTTGAATCGCCATCGCCATCATCGTCATCACCAGCAACATCATCGTCAGCATCAACACCTGTATCAATATCAACATCATCATCTGCATCTTCACCATATGCGCCGCACCACCAGTACCACCCTAACGGTCGTCATATCCGTTGTCACCTTCACTGTCATCATCATAACCATGTTCGCATGCTTTCCTCTACGGGGTGCTATCATCATCGTCAGCACCACTAGTGGCATCGTCAACTTCGCAGCCGTCGTCGGCAACACCATCATCGTAACAATCATTACAGTCGGCATCGCCGTCGTCATCATCGCCGTTGTTCAAGGCAGCCACACCATCGTCAACATCATCTTCACCATTGCCACTATTACCCTCTTCGCCACCATCACCATCGTGCCATGTCCATCGCCCGCTCTCCTTCTAATCCCCATCTTCCTCCTCCTCCTCTCCTCCTCCGCCTGCTGCTCCTGCTGCTGCTGCTGCCCCTCCTCCTCCCCAGTCCCCGCCCCCCCCCGAACCAAAAAAAACAAAACTCCCCCCCCCCCCCCCCCCACCCACAAACACACACACCACAACATGCCCCTCTCAACCTCCGCCGCATTCGCCTCCTCCCCCTCCTACCACCCCCCTTCCCTCCTCGCCAACTTCGGCCTCCTTCCTCACGCCGCCCTCAAGGTTCGGCGCGCGCCGCGCGCCAACCTTCGTCGTGGCCGGTCCCACTCCTGATCCCGATCGGCTGATCCTCCTTCCCCGATCGCGACCATTTCCTTGCGGGGGTTGTTTTGTTGGTGTGTGCGCGGTGCTGGTCTTCCTTGTGAGGGGCAAGCGGCCCCTCTTCGGTGGAGGCGCATGGCCAGGCCCGCTCTGCTACCAACTGCGGTGCCACCAATGCAGCGTTGCATCTGGCCGTTGCTGCGCCATTGTGGGCTTTCTCGGGTGGCTCGCAGTACGCGGAGCGCGGGGGGGCCCCGCGCTGCGCGGCGTCGCGCGCGCGGGGCCTTCCCTGTAGTTCTGGTGCACCACGAACATGGGCGCGAACCGGCGGCGCCGGCCCCATCGACGGCTGCGGCCGCGCCCTCTACGGCGCAGGCGCTGCCTCGGTCGTCGCAGCATCCGAGGGGGGCGCCGCAGGCGCGGCCTCGGCATCGCGTGCGCCGCTGGCTTGCGGCGCCGAGGCGCCTTCTGGCGGCTGCGCCGAATGGCGCCTTCGTGGTGCGGCGCCCGAGACCGCCATGTGTGCCGATTGGTGCGGTGGCGCCGAGCGTGGCGCCGAGGGCGCCTTGGTTGAGGGGCGCCGAGTCTCCTTCCGAACGCTTTGGTGGCGGCGGCCCCGAGGGCGCCGCGGGTCAGCGGCTGGGGCGGGATGCCCAGCGGCGGGGGCGCGCGGCTTTGGCAGAAAATCGGGGGTGCTGGTGCAACCGCGCGCGGCGTAGAACCCGCGCATTGCGCCCCCCCCCCCCCTCCCCACCCCCCTCCGGAGCCCACGCCGCGCGCGCCGCAGACCTGTGCGGATGCGGGACACGCGGCGCACCCTGACAATCATGACATCATGACCCCATCCAAAATCTTCCTCATCCTCATTGTCCTTCTCCTCCCCCTCCCCCCCCACTCCCCCCCCCTCGCCTTCCCCCGCCCCACTGCTCCCGCCGCCTCCTCCACCCCCTGCACCGCCGCCCCCCCCCCCTCTGCCGCGCCCAGGTGCAGCGCGACTTCGCGCTCGATGTTGCGGAATTGTTTTCTGCCGAGCGTCAAGATTGCGGGCCTCAATTCACGAACCCGCGAGACTAAGCCAAGGCAATCCGTTTTCGCTTTCGGCTGAAATTGGGTTTCCCACGGGGTCATTCTTGCCCCCCCGCCCCCCCATCCCTCTCCTCCCCCTCCCCACCACACACACACACGCGCACCACCACCCCCCCCCCCCCTCCCCCCCCCCCCCCTCCCCCCCCCCCCCCCCCCTCCCCACCCCATCCGCTAACCGCCACCCCATGGCCCCATGGAGCCTTGCTGTGCCATATTTGGGCCTTCGTGGGCTATGTTGGGGCTCTCTTGGGCAGCGTTGGTGCCCTTTCGGCTGCGTCTGAAGGGCGCCACAGGGCCGTCGCATAACCTTTTTTTTTCAGGCCATCTGGGGCGCCCGAGTGCTCTTTGCTAAGTGCTCCTCCTCCTGCTCGCCCCAGTCAGGCCTCTGCCAACTGCCATGACTCGTGCGTGCAGTTGGGGCTGGGCGTTGGCGTCGGCGCTGCCTTTCAGGTTTCGGCTCGGCCCCCTCAGGCTCAGGCGCTCTCTCCCCCCCCCCCCCCTCTCGAGCTCGGGCGCCCCCCCTCTCGCCACCCGCGGGCGCTTGAGACGCCGCGTCCTGGGGCCTCCTCCGCTGCTTCCTCCTCCATCATCCTCCTCCTCGTCATCTTCGCCCTCTTCCTCCTCCTCCACCCGCACCTCCGCCCCCTCGCAGCCACGGGCAAAATATCCCGCAAGAGATGGCACACGCGAGAAGGTCCCGCCGTCGGGGTCACGCGATGCGGTGTGCATGTGCGTGGGGGAGGGGTGAGTGGGTGGGTGGGTGGGCGGGTGGGCGTGGTGTGTGTGTGTGTGTGTGTGTGTGGTGTGTGGTGGTGTGGTTGGTGTGGTGTGGTTGTGGTGTGTGTGTGTGTGTGTGTTGATGGTGGTGGTGGTGGTGTGGTGGTGGTGTGGTGGTGTGGGTGTGGTGTGGGTGGTGGGGGTGGCGGTGGTGCTGGTGGGTGGTGGGGTGTGGGTGGGGTGGGTGGGGTTTTTTTTTTTTTTTTTTTTTTTTTTTTTTTTTTTTTTTTTTTTTTTTTTTTTTTTTTTTTTTTTTTTTTTTTTTTTTTTTTTTTTTTTTTTTTTTTTTTTTTGGTGGGGGGGGGGGGGGGGGGGGGGGCGCGCGGGGGGGGGGGGGGGGGGGGGGGCGGGGGGGGGCGTTGGATAAGGAAGTCGTAGGAATGTAAGGCCTCGCGGCCAGTGAGCGGCCAATCGTCGCAGGCAATGAAGGAACGCGCTAGGGTCTGTCACCGCCCAGGAGAGATTCCTCATCCAATCGCATCCCCCCCCCCCCCCCCCATGCTCCCCTCTCAACCCCGCCCCGCCGTGCACCATCGGTGCCCGCGCTAAACCTTAGCGCGGGCACCGACGGTTTGCGCGGCCGTCCATCATATCGGGTGCGCGCCCCCGCTCTCCAAGGGCCTCCCAGGGCGCGTGCGGATTGGCGTTGCAGGGGGCCTCGGCGCGCGGCCAGCCAACGCGCCAACCAACCAGGAGGAGCAGGAAGAGGAGAATGATGATGAGGGGGGGAGGAGGAGGATGGGGAGGTGGACGAGGAGGAGGGGCGTTGAGGTCCACTGGGCGCGGCCGCGACCGCAAGCTGGCCTTGCGCGACCCATGCGTTGCGCAAGCACGCAAGCATTACGCAAGCACGATGCAAGCGCTGCGCGAGCACCGAACAAGCATTTTTTTGACCACGGCGCAAACAGTACACGTGCACTACATCAGCGCCACCCAACCACTACGCAGTCAATAGTGATCGCGTTAGCTCTCGCGGCGTGCTCGCGTGGCGCCCTCCTCAGTGTTCCCGTAATGCTCGCGCACTGGGCGCGCCGTTCTCGCGACGTATTCACATGGTGGTCGCCTAGCGCCCTCGTGCTGGTCGCACGATGCGTTCGCAATGCTTGCGTGGTTTGGTGGCGTCGAGGGCTCTCTTAGCGGGGGCGGGTTGGGCGTTGGTGCTGAGTGGGTGGATGGGGTGGTGATGGGGTTGTGGCACGGGTAGCAGTAGTCATAGTAGTAGAGTGCTAGTCGCGGCAGTAGTAGGGTAGTAGCGGCCGCTGCTCTTTTTTTGCGGCCGTGGGCGCGAGGCATGCAAGCTGCCTCGCGCCCCGCCGGGCCGGGGGGGCTCGCGCGCCCGACTTAGTGTTTGTGTGTGGGTGTGTGTTGTGTGTGTGTGTGTGTGTGTGTGTGTGTGTGTGTGGTGTGTGTGGTGTGTGTGTGTGTGGGTGTGGGTGTGGGTGTGGGTGTGGGTGTGGGTGTGGGTGGTGGGTGTGGGGTGGGGTGGGGTGTGGGGGTGGGGGTGGGGTGGGGGTGGGTTGGGGGTGTGGTGTGGGTGTGGGTTGGGGTGGGGTGTGGGGGATGGGGGGGGGGGGGGGGGGGGGGGGGGGGGGGG